TGATAAAACAAAAGCTTTTGAGCTATATAATATTGCTGCTGAAAAAGGACATGTTGCCACACAAAATAGTTTAGGAGTATTATATGAGAATGGTGAAGGTACTGAAAAGAATATAGAAAAGGCTGTTTACTGGTACAGTAAAGCAGCAGATAATGGAAGTGAAGTAGCACAATATAATTTAGCTAATTGTTATCAATTTGGAAGAGGTGTTGAAAAAGATGATAAAAAAGCTTTTGATTATTATAAAAAATCAGCTGATAAAGAATATTTAAATGGCATATTTAGTCTTGGATATTGTTATTATGAAGGAATCGGAATTGATGCTGATGAAACCAAGGCATCTGAGCTATATAAAATAGCAGCTGAAAAAGGGTGTGTTCCTGCACAAACCAATCTTGGTTATTTATACGGAAGTGGTAAAGGAATTGAGAAAGATCTAGAAAAAGCTCTTGATTGGTATAACAAAGCGGCAGAAGGTGGATGTAAAACAGCATTATATAATTTAGGAGAGTGTTATGAACTAGGATATGGTGTGGATAAAGATCTGGATAAAGCATTTGAATATTTTAAGAAATCAGCCGAAGATGGAGATAAGGAACTAAAATTCTACCTTGGATATTGTCATATAAATGGTATTGGAACTGAAGTTGATAAAGAAAAAGGATTTGAATTATATGATGAAGCAATTGGAAAAAATATTCAAATTAATCTCATTGAAAATGATGAGGAATTAGAAAATGATTTAGATAAAGTTTATTATTGGTATCATAAAATCACAGAAAGTAATAATAAATTTGCATTATATAAATTGGGCGAATTTTATGAATTAGGAAAGGGTGTTTTCAAAAATCAAATTAGAGCATTTGAATTTTATAAAAAATCAGCCGATCAAGGATTTATTGATGCTCAATATAAACTTGGATATTTTTATGAAAAAGGAATTGATATCGACGTTGATAAAGTAAAAGCGTTTGAGTTTTATAAAATGGCTGCAGAAGGAGGAAACATTGATGCACAAAGAAGTCTTGCATTTTTATATGAACAAGGCGAAGGGACTGATAAAAATATGGAAAGCGCTATTTATTGGTATAAGAAAGCCATAGAAAATGGATGTTTAGATGTACAAGAGAATTTAGATATACTTTTACTACAACTAGAAAAGCAAGATTAAATCTCTTCTATTTAGTAATGACTTATCCTTTAAAATTAGTTTATATTTAACTACAATATTTATTTATAGAATCAATTTTTAAATTAGCAGAAATCTGGTCAATTAAATTAAAAAATAAATTAAAAAAATTAAAAAGTCGTAAAATATTATCATTGTAACAACTTGTTTTAGGTATTTATCACGTTAGTATGTTTACAATTCCGTAAGGAAACCGTTGTTGTCCGGAGTGGAAGATTTAAATTAATATAATGCCGTACGTGACAAGCAATATCGAAGTCAAAATAAGGTTAACGGTATTATTTAATAATCTATATCGCATACAGTTTTTTTTTTTGAATAAAATATTGCAAAATAAAATTTACCTAATTATAGTTGACTAGTTATTTCTCATAAAAAAAAATAAATCACGATTCATACATAACTTCGACATTTAATAACATTAAGGAATTGAGACGAATGAACCGTTTAATATTTCTTAAACAAAAAGTTCTATTTGATTTATTGTCCAGAGCGAAGCGAATTATGAAAAATGACCGATCCCGTGAGTTTCTCTGTCATTCACGTGACATCGTCCAATGAAATCCGCAAATCTGAGTTTTATTTTTTTTCGCTCCGGACTTACAACGGTTTTCGTTTCCTAGTAAATATCTAAATTAATACATTTAATGAAGTTACTATTTAACCATAAAGTCATTTCTGAATAACAAATCTAATCCCGAATGTCAAAAAGAAAAATAATAAAAAGATAAAAACGTAAAGTGCGTCTAATGTAAATTTACCGATAAATTATTTTATAACATTTGCAAATGATCATGACAGAGAAACCATGAGATAAAGGCTTGCAAGTGAATGTGAAGAGAACGAAAGAAACGAGCAAATATTTTAATTCTTGAGAGAATAAATATTTTATATATTGAATCAAAAAATAAATTTTTAAAAAGTATGATAAAAATGATAAATATTAAATCGTTTTGTTAGAATGTGTCCAATCACGTGTTAAATCATCACGAGACTGATGTGACTCTCTCCTTTTGGCAAAGTTAAACCAGGAGACCAAGAATTAAATCCTTAAAAAAGAAAAAAAGAAAGAAATCAAAAGATTTAACCCAAAAATGAGAGTTAATGAAATCACTTATAATAAAATGTCCAAAAAAAAAAAAATTTCGTATTACAGTACCAATTTTCTGTACAATACAAACTTCCGTATTATCTTACATAAAAGGATAAAATTCATAAGCCACAATCCTGAACTTTATTTTTTCAGTTTAAAAAATTTTTTTATTAAAAAAATTTTGAAAAAACTTCGTATGAAGTCTTCGCGATGTTTCTGACGAATGTAAAATAAAGAACGCTATTGTCTTCCATTTTTTTGGTTATGTTTTGTTGACTCATCATGTAAGTTGCTGCAATTAACAGTTTTTAGATTCTTTAAAAGTTTAAAAGACGTATATTATATACATTTTAATTTTTTAAAAAATTTTACATATTAATTTTATTTGTGCACTTTGCACATAGTTTAAAAAGAACTTATAGTAAATAATCTTTAAATACTTTTATAAAATTTACTAGTAAAGTGTATTTTTGTAATCTACATTTTAAATAAGTTTTAATGATATTTTATATCGTAGATGTTTCATTATATAATTTAAATACTTTAAACAAGCAAAACTGATTCTAGAAGGTTGTTCAATAGTTATTAAAGCATTTATAATGTAAATTTTTATCAAATTCATACAGTTTTTAAAGTAAGAGATATTTAAAATATCAAATAATTTTTTTTATTTCGCTTATTTCGGCACGTAATCAATAGTATACAAATCGACGACCCACAAAAAATAGTAGACGCCAGGACGCCAGGTTACACTTGAATCGCGCGCATGATCCGGATGATTATTTTCGGTAATTATAAAACTTTTTATTGATCTGATCGATCCTTTTACGCCACACACCACTTACGAAATATTTTTCTAACTTGTCATATCAACAACTAAATAAGGTGTTTTCTGTCTCCTCCAGGATCCCACAGAAGTAAAGAACCATATTCGTGTCCTTTTCGAGCTCAAGAAATCCGTAAATGATGGACATTTATATCAAGCCTTGGCAGAGCTGACAGCCGGTGATTTAAAATCAACACATGCTGTGAGATGATTGGTAGTATCAACAGTGAAGATATTGAAAATATTTTAATTGTGAAATTGGTTATATCAGAAGGTGATGATTACATATGGGTTTACCATATTAAATCAGAAAAAGGACAAAAGCATGTTTAATAATATTCCGTATTTGCAATGTATAAGAACAAACTATTTAGAATTTACAAATAAAATACATGATCCATTATAGCGAAAATAAGTAAATATAATATCTTAATAGTTTATTATAATAAATAATAAAATTAAAAGTACATTATAATATATATTTTTTATACTGGGGTAGCATAAAATTTAATTAATATAAATTGTATAACTATACTTTCATAAGTAAAATAGTTTTTTTAATCAATAAATAATATAATAATACCGAAAAAATAATCGTGCGCAGATCATGTGTAACCTGCGGTTACCATTTTTTTTTTTTTATAGTGATGCTAGGGTCGTTTATAACAATTCCGAGTTTCTGGAACGAGCACAAATGGGACATTTGCCATAATAGAATTACCCTTAAAATATCAGAATTGTAATTTTATAAAATTTTATAAAATTAAATATTTTCTAGATTAGATTTTTTTTTTTAGATAATTAAATCTTGATTAAATTATTTTACAAAGAATTAAAATTATCAATTATAGATTGTTACGACGTCAGAAATTGATGCGTTGCAAAATTTACTTGATCTGCGTCACAAATATTTTGAGTTTTCATATTTTCAAGCCCAAATTTCAAAATATTTATTAATAGTTCCACTCGTCTTTTGGCCAGAATTACGATAATGTTAGTAAGTTTCTAAAAAGGTATACCGTAAATTTTAGTTGGCTTATCTAAAAAAGTACATTTGATTACTTTATCTCAAACTTTACCGTAATATTCTTTTCTAAACATTTATTTCAAAAAAAAAAAAAAAATCACATGATTATTTTATATGACGTCATCGTCGTTACCAATCAAAAAAACGTGGGGTACCTTGAAAATGTTTGAGGTCGATCACATTGAGTACCTTTCCCAAAACATGTACGAGGGCTGTAAAATACTATTTGTAATTATGATCTTCAATCTCTTCAAACTTTAAATAATCTACTTTCGCTTGATAATCAGAATTTGTGTCCGATAGATCAATAATTGTGTTTCTTTACTCACTAACTCTGTCTTTTTTTTTTTTTTGAATGAATTAATCTAGTTACATATAAATTACCTTTTTGAAATTCATTCATGTGTGCCAATGTTTTAATATTTTTTTAGCACATGCGTAATGGTTTCATTCGACCCAAAAAAAATATATATATCGTTTTTTATTTGTCGCGCTAATGCATGGCGTATACACAGTGTATGATTGTTACAATGTTCTTAATTAGGTTAATGCGTGAATTTTACGCCTTTTTCTAATTAAATTAATTAAAATGTTTTTGTGCATTGAAAGCGATTAGGAAATGTGTAATAGCTAGTGTTTATGTTTGTTTTTATCATGCCATTTTATTAAACTATATTTATATATTTATTCAAGGGGTGCAACAGAATTATAAAGCCTTATCAATAACTCAATGACTGACGTCAAAAAAGTACAGTTATATAAATAATAACCGATTTTTTATTCTCGTTTTTTCTTTGGTTCGTTCTTTTAAAAAAAATAAAAAAGAATTCTCGTACAAAAAAAAAAAAAAATTTCAATTGACGCTATGTCTCGTTATGGATTAATTAATACTGTAATTAACCTTGCGTACGAATTAACGAATGACAAGATACACAATGATATACACAAACAACATAAATTCAGACGAGAATTCGTCAATAAAAATGAAAAATTATCTTTTAATGAAAAAGAAGATGCAGTGAAAGTATTATTACAAATTTATGATAGTGACAAAGTCCTTTTTAAGTCAGGGGAAACAAGACTATGTGGAAATTGTAAAAAAAATTGTTTGGCCTCCTTATATTGTGAATATTGTGTTCAAAATTATTTAAAGTCAAATTATTATACTTGGACATCTGGAAATAACGATATTGATAATTTAATACGTAAATGTCAATCGGAAACTCTTAAACCAGATATGGTCGTCGAATGGATCCCATATGATAAGTTAGAAAATATTAATTATTTAACAAAAGGTGGTTGCTCTGAAATATATTCAGCAGATTGGATTGATGGACAATACGAGGAATGGGATTCTAAAGAACAGCTATTAAAAAGATTTGGAAAACAAAAAGTAATAGTTAAAAAATTAGAAAATTTTAAAAGTGCGGACCGAAGTTGGTTTGAAGAGGTTTGTAATCAAAATTAAAAAGAGATAATATAGTAATTTCTTTAAATTAAAAATATAATTTTTTTTTTCTAATAGGCTAAATCACATTTATCAATATGCAACAAATGGATGAATATCGTTCAATGTTACGGAATAACGCAAGATCCAAATGGAGATTATATGCTTGTAATGATTAAAATGGATACGGATTTAAGAAATTACTTAATAGTAAAACGTGGAAAACTTACGTGGTTTGAAAAATTCAAGGCCGTTATCAATATATGCAGTGCAATTAATAAACTCCATAATAATGAGAATGCAATTCATAGAGATTTGCATTCAGGAAATGTCTTATACTCGGAAGAAGAGCATTATTGGTATATTAGTGACCTTGGTTTTTGTGGATCTGCAAATAAACCATTAAGAAGTATATATGGAAATCTTCCTTATATAGCACCTGAAGTTATTGTCGGAAAAAAACATACTGCTGAATCCGATATTTACAGTATCGGAATGCTTATGTGGGAAATTTCATCAGGACAACCTCCGTTTTATGGTTATTATCATGACTTTTATCTAGTGTTGAAAATTACAGCTGGTATGAGACCGCCTATTGTATCAGGAACTCCTTCAGAATATAAGGAATTAATGGAACAATGTTGGGATGCAAATCCAAAAAACAGACCCAAGATCGAAACTCTCCTTGATGCAATAAAAGGAATCAACAAGAAATTTCGAGAGAAAAATAATAATGAATCATTTCAACATGATCTGAATGATAAAAATAATACTTTGAAAGTATATACAAATAACTCAAAAATATCTGAGTTATTAATTAAAAGTAAAATGCATAGATTTGAAGATTTACCAGAACCTAAGAATGCATCAGAAGGTAATAAAATTTATAATTTAATTTATTGTTTTGTATTTAAACATATTTAAACATATTTTAATAATATTATGTAAACAATGTTTTTTTTTCCTAAATTAAATATTAATAGAAGAACAAAAAGGTAATTAATAATTTTATATTTTAAAAATAATTTAATAAATATTTATTAATTAAAAATAAATATATTTAATTTTTTAGCTTTACATCAAGAATTCTATAAATGTGATGATGGTACATTGTATAAAATATATCATTGAATTTTTTTTTCGTATTATAAAATTGTTTATATTCTAATTTTTTTTTATTTAATAGCATATAGTCCAAATCTTCATCCGGAAGAACAAGATGGTTTAGAAATTCCTGATAATATTGAATAATATTTGAAATGGGTCTGGTCGAAATCCCGACAGGTACGAAATCCCGAACTCTAATGCTGGTCAAACACATCACGTGACTCTTCATAATTCTGCATAACGCGGGCCATTTGTCGGGATTTTGTACCATTCGGGATTTTGAACCGTCGGGATTTTGTACGGATCCCATTTGGGGGCCGGGGCCATTCGGGTTTGAGGGTATTTGAAATACTAGAAGCTCAAATTTTTTATTATGAAAACTTGGTACCATATTTAATTTCTTTTTTTATTTTTGAACAAACTAATCATAATACTATAGTTGGTAATGTAATTAAAAATTTCTATATTGTTATTTTAAAAATGAGAACGAAAAAATCTGATATAAAATTTTGTAAATAAAGAATTTAAAAGTTAACGTAATATATTATTGTATAATAAGTTTTACTTTGCGATAGATTAATCCTAAATACATTAGCGATCGATTATCCGGAATAGGACCTCTTTAGATAAGATACAATAAAAAATTTTGCATTTCTTTAAGATGGCAATATCAGTCGTTTTATATAAAAGGCAATAAATTCTGGCTGATATTATCTATAAATGGATAGATCTACATAATTTATTTTAGACCCTTTTTAATTTGTATAACTTGGTCGGTCAGGATCCCGAAATATATATAAAGAGGCCCCAAAATTTTTTTCTATTAGCTGTACGCATTTTTTCAGGGCCGGAATTATGATAATTTCGGTCAGTATCCAAAAAAGGTTATAGCTTCCATCAGGCATTATCTATAAAAGGAAAGATATTCGTGAATTTTTTTTTTTTACTGGTGACCTTATTTCGGAGTCCCCTTGATTCGTTTGATTTTTAATTTGATCAAAAGTCTTTAATAACTTACATTATTAAAGTAAAGTTTCATGGTCTTAATATAATGTATAAACAAGGATATAAGAAGTTGCAGTAACAAGCAATTTCCATGACTTAGAGATTCAAAAGGAAGGGTGAGCGTAACTCATAATTTAAGTCAGTTGTAGCGGACGCCATCCTTTATATTGTATATCAGCCTTTTTATGATTTGATTAATTCGATTAATTCGATTATATAAGGAAACTTTTAGCTAGATTCTTAATTTGTTATCTTCAGGGTTAATTATTAATGATTCGTATAATATTGAGGTAACCACTAAATATTTATTTATACTATGATTTCTCTTCTATATAGCAAGCACGGAAAAAATATCAAGTAGCCATATTTACAGCTAAATTTCTTTTTAAAGACAATTCCACAATTCCGCTGTTCCACCAACAGTAAACTTGAATTTTTCTGCATTCGAATTCGAATTTGGTCCAAAAAAAGATTTGGCCAGAAATTAAAAAGAAATAGACGTGAATATACGAATGGATGAATTTAGTCTGAATAGATGGTGAAGTTTTCGTAACTGATGCAGATCCCAGAATGGATAGCCATTCATTTGAAATATCCTTCTACATTCCATGTACATTGTATCTGGCACATTGAACAGAACTTGCATTTGCGTCTTAGATCTAAGCTTGGTTTGATCATGTTTTTCATGTTACCAGAAACTTTTATGGTGTATAACGCTTACACGTATTACCTAAAGAAAATAATTACACATTAACTATTAATATAATCCTTAATTTACAATGATGATTCTCATAATAGCACTTGTGTTGTCTAAGACACAGTATGTTAATATTAGGCTGAAAAACATTCTTTTATATATCACTCAATTCTCTCTTATTCCTGATGCACTTTCAAAAAGTAATATCTACCATAAATCTTGTTAAGATTTTGTTTATCCAGGAAATTGTTGTTTTCTAATCTTGTACAACATTCATAAATTATCTTTTTTAAGAGTAATTTCAAAAATTTCCTCGCCTCGTGTAAAATTTTTCATGTCATTTAAATAAATACCAAATGCAAAGCCTATATATCGTTCAAGTGTAGATAATATTATCTATTCTTGATGTATGATGATTAGGAAAGTACTCAAATACTTTAATAAAACTCTGAAATTTCTAAAATCATGAGTGTTTAGAAAAATACGTACTTTGATGACTTAAAAAAAAAAAAAATAACATCATGAATAATTTAACCTATGTTTTTTTATACATGTCCTTTCTCGTAAAATTCCAACAAAATTACAAAGATCATTATATACGTACTGACAACCATATCGCTATATTCATGTTCTGTTATAATATCACCATCAATGATGAAAATTACTACTATTCTGAAAATTGCATGAACTTACATGGCTTAAAGTAAATTATAACGGCCTTCTTTATCAGATGAAGATTGAGATCATTCAACTGTAGTTAAGAATATTTGAAGTATTAATAAAAGCTGATCACCTAGATTTTCTTTTTTATTACGGAAAACGAAAGATTTTTTGGTATTAAATCTTACCTTAATAATTTTTCAAAATCTCGTGTTAAGAATGTCTTCTGATTTACAAAGCAGAAAAAATTAATGTCTCACCTAATTTCTTGGTTTATCGTCATTTATTGCATTTTCGATAGTTTTTTTAATTACTTAAACGTGTAGTAAATATATATTCTACTGCTAATATAAAAATCTTCGTTCAAAGATAATTTTACTATTACAGTATCAAGTATTAACCGATATACAAGTATCACTATAACTATATATTCCAAGTCAAAAATATATAAATAGTCTATGGTAAACGCAAAGGTGGATTACCGGTCAACGCATCAAAAAAAAAAAAATTATTTTAAGCCGTGGGAAGGCTGGGAAGCGTGTCACTAAGCGTAATAGTAGTACAGCGAATACCGCAGTAAAAGCAATAAGGGGTATTTTTTTACTGTTATACAACATTTACGGATTTGGGTTAGGTAATTTAAATCAATCAAATTATCAAATAATGTTGCGTCAACTTACATGTTTTATTACTACTTATAGTAACATATATTGATGACTTTTTCAGATTTAGTATTTGATAAAACTTTTTTAACGCGTAATTTCGTTAAAAAAATCAAACAAAAAAAAAAAAAAAAAATACTTTTACTCTTTCTTACATTTTTCGCCAGTTTCTCGAAAGTTTGACCATAATTTCTATTGGTTTCTCCCATTTAAATATATAAAAAAAATGTCAGACCTGTATGATATTACGGAAGTTATAATGGCTAGTGATGAACTGGCTGCCGAAGATACGATGCCAAGTAGAAAAAGATATAAGTTTTCAAATGATTATTATGAAAGGTAATTAATTATATTCAAAACTTATTGTTTGTTTGTTTAAAAAAAAAATGTATTTTATTTTATTTATAAATAATTTTTATTTTATAATTAATACAAGTCCAAGAATAAGTACGCCACCGTTAAGGCATCATAACATAAACAGAATCTCTGACTCTTATAATTTTAGAAAATCAACAAATCAACAAAGCAGCTACAGAGTTAGGCTAGAAGAAAGTTTTCCTGAAGTTTCTGCAATTTTTAAATATGAAAAAGACACCCGATTAGAAGTGATGGAATGGTTAAGTAGAAATAATGATAACAATAAAAACGTTATATATATTAATTCCGAATCTATAACGGCAGAAAAATTATACGATTTATGTGACAAACATATTTGGCTTTCTTCTGATCATATAAATGCCTACCTCTCTTATTTGAATTCGAAATTTCATCGTGTATTTTCTCTTACAACATTTTTTTATACAAGGTTAACAGAAATTGGCGGATACAAATATTCTTCTATCGAACATTGGACAAAAAGGATAGAAATTTTTCAAAAAGATATTATCTTTATTCCAATTAATATAAATGAGTCACATTGGATCTTAGCCGCAATATTTATGAAGGAACAGTTTAGAATTGCTATCTTGGATTCACTAGGGATGATAACAACAGAAGGTGCCGTCAATATTGGGGGAAATCTCATCAGGTGGTTGAATGACGAATATTTTCATAAAATTAGGTTGTGTAAGGGAGATGCGTGTGTGAAATATAAAGTAAGGAATGAAGAATTTGGCTCGAACGTAGGTAAATCTAAAATAATTGGGGAGATAAATTTGAACGGTCAAGTTGATTTTGCGTTGGATATAATGTTTCGAAATGGAGACCCTCCACAAGTAGATGGAAGTTCTTGTGGAGTATTTGTTTGTATGTTTGCGAGACTAATGGCAGAGAATATCGAGAGAGATATAATCATGAAGATCGCAAAATTCCGAGAAGCTAGTATTAAATTTAGGAAAGTTATCTATACAGATCTATGGGAATATGCAAAAGAAAATAAACAAGTGGATATCAAATTTGAGGTGAAATATGACGAATACAAATAATTATAATTTTCCGTCATAATTTTTTAATATTATTTTTCGAGATGGCGGTTTATTATTATTGTTCGGGACGATGTTTGTTCGGGATGATGAATATAGATCTTAAATGGGCATTGATAATAAATGTTTTTCAAAATTTTATTTTCAATCGGTTTCATTTTTTATCATATTCAAAATTAGGATCATTCATATTCAGATATCTTTTTACAAAAGAATTTTTATTTTTTATATGTAAATACTTTATGTGATATATTATTAAACTTTTGATATTAAATTTTGTATAATCGGTTTTAAATTTTATAATAAAGAAAAAAAAACAACATTACTTAAAAACAATATAATACCATCATAAGTCCGGAGTGAATTAATTAGCAATTCATAAAGCTTATGAAGACGTGATCGTAACACGATTATTAATAAATAACGGGAGCATTAAAATTTTCACACTCCTTTTTCGCACGTTCAAATCTATAAAAATCTGTTTTAGAAGTTATTATACATATCTAATAAGTTAATTCGTGGAACAATCAGTAGAATATTTACGTTAACTGATCACTTTTTTTTTTGGAATGATTGGAATGATCGTTGTGATCATTTGGGTCAATTACTCGGTTGTGTAATCACTAATGATCATCGGCAGTTCCCGATCGTCTGATAATAACATAAATATGTATGAAGATTAGAGTTTTAAGAGTGATTGACATTTTAGTCCAATTTTTCGAACATGCGACTTTTTTATGCTAATATGAAAAAATTTAAATTCTCATAACTTGCATATATCATAGTTTGTTACTTTATTAAACAAAGTTTTCTATTATTCACTTTTCAAACTTTGAAAATTCGTTAGTTCTCCACCAATAAATTGTATGCATCTTTTTCACGCAAAACTGCTTTACAATTGTGTCCGCTGACGCCAAATTATTATTTCTTTTCTTTTGATAACTCGAAGTAGAACGGACGTATGGGACGGATGTATCATATGTATATATAATAATCTTTTTAAGAAAACATCGTCTTTTCCGATTATAATACATACCCGCCCCATTAGAACTCGCCAAGTATTTTATCTAAAGAATTTTTCAAAACTTTATATTTTTACGATTAAGATACCACAGACGAAAATTTCAAAATTTCATTGATATTTACATCGTCGTGATCTTAAATATCATTCGATAACGATAACAAAATTTTCTTTCCTTAATAATAATGAATAAATTTATTCCAACGGCAATGTTTTGCCTATAATATAATTGACGTGGTACGGATGCCTTAATATTTGATAATAAGAGAGCGTGGCTTGTCGAATACTTTTATTTTAATTATATTTTACCATCTCTCCAGATGTAAACATTCGTCTTCCAAAATACTGGATTCATAAATGTAACCTTCTTGAAAGAATTCCAGCTCCAGATATAACTTTTGATTTTGTTTATTTAAAAATTTTTTATTATCTGATCTAACTGATTCTCAAGGGAAATACCTTTTATTATGTAGGTTATGATGATTCTGATCCAATAATTCGAATTCTCAAGCTAAGCAAATAATTAAATTATCCTCTTAAACGGTCGAGCTAGCCTAAAAAACTTAGTCACGAGGAATTTGTGTCCAAGCCAATCACACCGAATCTTGATCACGTGTAATCAATTACAAATAAAACTGATGTTTGAAGCATATTCATTAATTACATCTGAAGATAAAAGAATCTTTTGAAAAGGATCAAATTTTATAAGTTCTATAATGAAGTAATATATTTATCTTTTTAATAAAGAAGAAATCGAAATAATTTATAGATTAAGTGATTACGCGATCATTGAAAGAAAAAAAAAGAAAAAAAGAAAGAAAGAAAGAAAGAAAGAAAGAAAGAAGAAATTAAAAGGAATATTTAAAAAAGGAATTAAATAAACCGAGTAAATTAGTTTATCAAATCACACCACATGAAGGTCATGATTTTTATCAATAATAAAATATACTTCGTTTATATCATTATAGATAAGAAAGGAATATTTAAAATTTTTAAGCTATTATTCTATTAAAATTGATTTATCTAATTCATGATCTACTTTCAGCGAGCTTTAAGATTTTTCAATATAAAATTTCTTTAATGTGACGACATTTATATAACAAAATTATCCGGATAATATGATCGTAACTCGAACAAAATTATAATATCGACCAGAGTTGCGAAATTACATTACGTGGTTCAAACCCTATCAAAAAAAGCGATAGATTTAGTCTAAATAAAAAACAGATAATCTTTAGAAAAAATATAGAAGCACTCATTCTTACTTCAACTAGCCAAACATTATAGCAAAATACACATGATTTTCTGAATGAAAATTTAGATCATTAAAAATATCATCATTATTGTCTATAAAATAAAATAGTAAGAATATTTAGAATAATAATTGTTAATACAAAATTTATAAACGATTGCATACTATCAACATTTTGTTTCTTCACTTGCTGTTTTACAAAACTTTTTTCATAATTATCTTGATTATGCAAAAAATTTATATATAATTAAAATCAGTCATGGTTAAAAAAATATGTACTGTACGTATATTTATATATATTAATTACTTACCATCTCTTAGTCCGAAATGCAATTTTTTTGGAATACTTTAATACATTTTACTATTTCCTAAATTATCAAATGAAAATTAATAAATTTAAATGATTATTAAAAATAAAATTTGATTTTAATATTCATCTTTAACAATACTATTATTTTTGATATACTTAGTTAATTTATTAAAATCATCAACTAGAAAGGAGAATAGATAATTTACTGCTTGCATAATAAATACTTGTTATTTCATAAATTTCAGAATATCGCACTTTTTACGCAAAGATACGGTCAATAAATATAAATATGGACTTCTAGATCTGTTTAATTTCAGAACACGAAAATAATAAATTTGAAATAAACTATATTCATTGTTTTTATGATCAGACTTACCGTAAATAGAATGAGTATATCGGCTACATAATCAGCTATTTTATCGATAAAAAACAAGTAATCCTTTACATGAAAGACGTTGGAATTATAAAAATTTACGATTATGTCTTTTATCAAAGGAAGAATACAAATATATTTATTAAAATTTTTAAATGTTAAACAGAAAAATTTAATGTGGTAACTTTTAACTATTACGCTATTATTATAAGTTTAGATGAAAAATAAACTATAAAAATTTTAATGTAAATTCTATAACGGAAAATCAATAAATATTTAAATGTATTTTGCTTATTATCTATATTTTAACATTCAGCTTTTCAATTTATTATAATAGATATTGATAAGCCATCAAAAAGCTCATTATAATTTGCACATAAAAAGCATTATAAATATTTTATTAATTTTTTTTTTTTTATAGACAAAACATATAAAAATTTAAAATTATGCATAATTGAATATAATGTTAAAATGTGAATGGTTTGTCAAAAGGGTGGCTAATTCATTAATCTTTTTGAGGCCTAGCACTTATTTAATCTATATTTTAAAAATGATTTTATTTATTCTTATATGTCTACTTTATGTAATTAGTAAATTTTACATGTGACGTTCGTTCGTTTTTTACTAAATCAAATAAGAATTTTATAAACTTGTGAAATCATTTAAATAAAAGTTTTATAAACATGTGTAACAAAGAATAACTTACTTGTAGTGTTAAACTGCTAATAAAATAAAATTTACTATAGGAATAAGGTAATTAACATTATTAAACAGTAATACTATAATAATGGTATTACATTATTACTAAAGCTTACTACACATACTTAACGTTAATTCAACGAAATGGTTTCTTTATTCATTCAGTTTTTAATGTGCTTTATCAATTTATATATTTATTTCAATTATTTATTCATAATCCATATTATTTACAAAGAAGACTACAATAGTTCTTCTCTAACTTGAATAATAAATTGAATGGTTCCTAATATCCGTTACTTGATACTTTGTTTATTTAAATAGATTTACTAATTGAAAATATCTAGAAAGATGAACTTTTTTACCAACTATATTTATATTGAATTTTAAAATATTATAAATTAATTTAGTCTATGAATACACAATTACTTTAAAAGTCTGGATTTTTCTTTCGTCATATTAAATATAATAAAGTTTGTCACACAAATTATATTTTCGTACCGATCGTCGATACTGCGCCTTATGATCTATTCATATGATGGTACAAGTTTTGATCAAATATTTGCATTTAATTTATTTCGAGTAACCGAACTTGAAACATAATTCTTTCTTTTCCTTTTAATTTATTAATTGCATTATGTCCACTCTTCGATATGAATTAATTTGTGCAACAAAAAATAGAGCAATAACGTTAACTGATACAAGAATTCATAATGATATACATAAACAATTTGAGTTCCAACGACAAACAGTCCTTGTTGATAAAATTCTTACATATGATGAAAAAACTATAGCAATAAAATTTTTAATTGAAGATTATGACCGAAATAAAATTATAGATAATAATGGTACAAGAAGAATTTGTGAAAGTTGCAACCAAAAATGTTTAGCTACATTATATTGTGAATATTGTGTCCGGAATTATTTAAAAGAAAATTTTTCAAATTGGACATCTGGAAATTATGATATTGATAATTTAATACAGAAATGTCAAATGGAAGCACTCGCGCCAGATATGGTAGTTGAATGGATCCCATATAATAATTTACAAAATATTAAATATTTAACAAAAGGTGGATTCTCAGAAATTTATACAGCAGATTGGATTAATGGAGGATATGAAGAATGGAATTTTGGAAAAAAACAATTAAAAAGAGATGGAACTTCCAAAATAATATTAAAAAAATTAGAAAATGTTGAAAGTGCAAATCAAAGTTGGTTTGAAGAGGTTTGTATAATATATTCTAAATTTATTGTATAAAATTATGCAGTCTTTATATTAATATGAGCATTTTTACAAATTATTGTCTTTTAGGCTAAATCACATTTAGCTATAAGTAATAAATGGCCGGATGTTGCTCGATGTTTTGGTTTAACACAAAATCCATCAAACGGAAATTATATGCTTGTAATGGCGAAATTTGATATAGATTTAAGAAAATATTTACAACAAAATCATGATGAACTTACATGGAAAGATAGAATTAATATTTCTTATGATATAATTCTTGCACTTATTTTTATTCATAAAGAGAAGGCAATCCATAGAGATTTACATTCCGGAAATATATTATATTCACAATTAAATAATTATTGGTGTATCAGTGATCTTGGATTTTGTGGACCTGCTGATAAATCTTCAACAAGTATATATGGAAATCTTCCTTACATAGCACCCGAAGTTATTGTTGTAAGATAATATACTTTTGCATCTGATATTTATAGTATTGCAATTCTTATGTGGGAAATTTCATCTGGACAACCACCATTTATAAATTATGAACATGAAAATGATATTGTAATGAATATTATTAATGATATAAGACCAAAAATCGGGCCAGGAACTCCATTAGAATATAAAAATTTAATGAAAGAATGTTGGGATGCTGATCCATTAAAAAGACCTGACACTGTTGCACTTTGGGAAAGAATGAAAAGATTAAATTTAGATTATCAAAATACAGATGAATCAGAAATAGATAATTTTGAAATTAATGAAGTAGAAGAAAATTATTCGAGTAGCAGATTATTTACAAGTAAAATTCACAACTTTGGAAATCTACCTGAACCAAGAAATGCAACAGAAGGTATAAATGTATAATATTTTATTAATGAATATATTTATTTTAAAATACATTATTAATATTATCTTTTTCTGAATTTATATTATAATAAAAGAACAAGAAGGTATAATCATATAAACAATAATTTCTACTGTTAACCGGTTACTATATTAATTTAATTTTTAAAATACTTTATTTTACTACTAATAGTGTTTCATAGTAAATTGTATGATTTTAACATTCCTAACAATAGTAAGTATTTATTAACATCCTTACAGCGTACAGCGTTGAATTATCATATAATAATGTTTAATAATTAATATTTATTTTAGTTAACGATTTTAATGGATCAAATGAGCAGAATAATTAATAAATATTTTTGTTTGAAATAATAGGTTAAATATTAAAATCTATTTTATGTTCTTAATTTTAGGTGATAGTGAAAAATTACCCGAAGAATTTATAAAGTTACAAGTAAATTCAAGTGGTATGTAAAATAAGTGAAATAAAATATTCATTGTATCAGTTTCTTTTACTAAATAACGTGACTTTTATTTTAAAAATAATATGACGAAAAAGAAATAATTCAACAACAAATGGAAAGGAAAGATATTGATATTGATGGTAAGTAAAAAAAGTAAAAATTATTTTGTCAATATATTTATTTAATGTAACTTTAATTTAAAAATTTAGATGGTGAAAAAGTAATAATTCAACAAAAAATGAAAAGACAAAATATTGGTGATATTGATGGTATGCGAATTTTTAATTTAATTTTATATTATTTTTTTAATTTTATTTATTTTTTTCTCCTTATAGATGATGAAGTACAAGATGAATTGGAAATTCCTGATGGTAAGTTCTCACATAAATAAGATTTCTTTTTAAAGCAACTAATTAATTTACTAATTTGTTAATTTTTTCATCTTTAGATGGATTTTAAATTGGATTTTTTATAAATCGAAATAACAAATATTATATTATACTAGCCGATATCCCGGGCGTTGCCCCGGGTTCGTGGGTTTAATATTTGTAGTAGCATAATACAATTAAAAATAGGTGGCAATCATGTAAGATTTTAATTAAATTTGTCTTTAAAACAGTTTCTTGTATTTTACATGAGCTATCCGAACAAATAACAAATAAATAATAGAATGATAAAATAATCTAAACAGTTTCTATTGAAAGGTTTCAGGATACATAACATTATGTGTAACATTTTTGCCATGCCGTATAGTAATAAGAGTTTTCAAATTTTTTCTTGATTTCACTCTTGAACAGGTAACATAGAATTGTCCACGAGAAAACACAGGAGTTGGAAGATATAAACCCAGTTTAATGTTTACCCGTAAGACTTATTTATGGTCATTGCAAATGCTATGACGTTTGAAAATGAAAGGTAGTTCTGTTTCTGAAGGGACATCATAATGCGAGGAATGAAAACTCTGGTTTCCAGGATGATTTCCAGTAATTATTTCAGTTTCAATGTCATGATTCTGAAAAGTGCGGCAAACTAATCTTGTCCAATTACAGAGACCATCATTAGGTTGAAGATTACATAATAGTACAATTGGAGTTCCCAATTTCAATATTAACTTATAAGGTGGAAGACCACTAACAGTTAAAGAGTAGAGAAACTCTTGTTTGATCATCTGCTTCCTCAACTGTATCTGCACTGAGATACTCAAATGCTTCTCCAGCAAGAAATTGATTCATAATAATAGTTTTGATGGAGTTAACATATTCATTTGTAGGAGCAAGTATTCTACGTTCAACAAAATACTTGGGTCAGAATACATTGAAAGATCAGGATACGCAAATTTGATTAGGTCATTTAGGTCTTGAGATGATAAAACAATATCTTCAGATAGTATAATAATATCACTTTCTGTTTTAGAAATTGCAGGAACACGACCTTAAGTAACCATTTAGCAAATTCAGCTTGCTTAGCAGTATCAGAATTATTAGTAGTAGCATTAAAAAGACGCATGTTAATCTTTAGTTTCATAACATTTACATGCTTACACAAAGTAGATTGACATAAACATAATTCAACAATGTCTTCACGTATCAATTTCAAATTCGTTCAAGGTTATGGCTTCCCTTTACAGCAACAGGAAGAATTTGCCGAAAGTCACCTCCAAATAATACAACCTTACCTCCAAATGGTTTTCCTTCTAAATTTGGATTCAAAGCCTTCATAATATCTCTCAAAAGTTCGATCTAAAGCTTCAAATGCATATTGGTTCGTCATTGGGGCTTCATCCTAAATGATTAAACTTGTAAGCGAAGCTAGTTCTGAACTATGAGATATAGAGCAAGTGGAATCTTCATGTAAATTATATATTTTTTTATTTAACTCAATTTTCATTTCTTTATTTAACTTAAACTTCAATTAACTTTATTACGTATGTATTGTATTCGTATAAGTATAAAGTTTAAACAAACTATTTACTAATTAAATTAGCTGAAAGAACTAAAAATTTTTAATATCTTATGTATCTGATAAGATAACTTGTTCAATCAAATTTTAACGAAATGCATGATTCTCATTTTAATTTTTAATCGACAGATATTTTGCAGATTAACCGCAGCATCAAAGAGATCACATGTTTAAAGCTACACGTGATTATAGTATAACATTAGGGTTACACAATTGAAATGTTACACAATTGAAAATTATTTATACATGGTACTCTAAACGTGACAGGGATCGACATCAACAAATTTAAATATGATTCCAAATTTATGGAAAGCCGCCATGGTCAAAAGTGCGTAGCAAAACATAGCGTGTATACGCTATGTTTTGTAGCGCATATACGTTATATTTCACGGCGGGTTACCCCTGTTCTGTCTGTTTCAGGGGTAACCTGTTGCAAAAAATAGCGTTTAATACGCTATATTTCATAGCGTTATAT